GACATTCTTCCCCCTCTTGATATGCTGCGGGCGCCTGCCTGACGAGAAGTACGTCCAGGCAATGTGGCACGCCCCCTTCTCAGACGGGGCACAAGGAGCACGCAACTTCATCACACGGCCCCCTGCGCTGTAAAAACCGCACCTACGACAGATACAAAGGAAGGAACCATCCGATCAGTCCACAACCGCGCATTGGTGGCCGTTGTGCTCGATAAGACTGGGGCTGAGCGTTGGTGGGGCAACACATCGGCCAAGAGGATGGTAAACAACACCTCGCCTTCCTCGCAGACATGCCACGCACTGCCACAACTCCCCCGCTCAGGCCCACACGTGGACCTCAAACTCCGAAGACCTCTCTTCTCTCGGAGGCCTGATGCATTCAGCTTGCGAAGCGTCGAGGCGAGGCCACTTCGATAGCAGCTTCGCCGCAAGTAGTATGACAGATCTGGCTATCTTGGCAGCGCGATCGATGCTCTGCAAGATCTCAGGCTCCGCCTGAGGATGAAGGTATAATCGTCTCTTGGCCGCTGTGTCGGCCAGCTGGTTGCCAGTCCTGCGCCATCCCTCTAGCGCAAAGATGCCTTCTCCGTCCAGGTCTCTGCGCGCCGACACTTTTTACAAGGCCTTCTAGACAAGGCCCCACGCCCGAGGTGATTTCGAGCACAGAGCCAACGTAAGCCCTCTGTCCCCCGAGGCGGCCCCGAGGAGCCCGAGAAGCCACGGAAACAACAGAGGCACACCCGGAGTAAAGCACGGACTGTCCGTCGAGGTTGACACCTGCAGCAGCCAGGCTAGATAATTCTCTCACGCCAACCATTCCATCTTGCTTGAGAGGGAGCGGAACCAGGAAAGTGGAGGACGAGGAGGGGGAGGAAGCGGTGGCAACGAATCGTGAGGGTCCTTCGCGTCCAGAGCACACACAGACGCCGAAGGCCGCCGTGCTGCACCGTTCGGAGAAGGTGCTGCTGGCCTCCTGCACCCTCGAATGGGATTTCGCAGCCAGGCGCCTCTGAACATCAGCGGCGATACTAGCACGGCGCACGTCTCCGAGCCTGCGGCCACGACCTCGCCCAGCAACTGGGACAGGGGCCCCTCCGCGGCCACGATCTCGCCCAACAGCTGGGACAGGGGGGGCCCGTGCGCGGCCACGACCACGCCCAGCAGCTGGGACAGGGGGGCCCTCGTGCGCGGCCACGACCACGCCCAGCAGCTGGGACAGGGCCTTCACGGCCACGGCCTCCGCCATCTGCCTGAGGTTCTGGCGCTGGTGGTGGGCCGCCGCCGTCCAGCAGCAGCCTCCACATGGAGGTCTAAAATGGATCCTCGAGCCAAAATGGCTACGCAGTGGTTGCGGTGGTAGGCGATGCGTCGAATCTGAGCGTTGTGAATAATGCATCGGTTGTGGCCCGATACTGGTATTGTGCGTGTTGTGTGATGTGTTTGTTTTCTTGCGCGTGCCCAATGTCGTGCGAGAACCGACGGGGGCCGAGGCACGCCAGCATCCCAAACTCCAGTGGACGCAATGGGTCCTAGATTAGCCAACGGAAGTGAACGCTCGAATGCTAGGATAGCCCGTTCTCTAATCCCTGTTCAACCAGGATTGGGAAACGGATTGGCGCAGCCAGCCTCTTGGGCCTCCCGAAATAGGCGGATGGGATCATAGTTTTTTCATGTCTGATGGGTGCAAGGGCGAAAATTAGAATATATAGAAGAACCGCTACGATCAGAACGTTATATGTCGCCGTGGGGGGATCTCGGCACCATGAGCAAGCATTCGCAACGAAACGCCCACGATTATGGTGATGCGTGCGTGTGTGGATACGAGTGCGTTGATTGCCGTTTTCAGTGTGATAGACATGCTGTTAGTGAATTGCCGATATTGGTTGTTATCTCTTGTTTCCGGGTGGGATAATATATTTTGCCCTAGCTGTGAAGTGTCTTGTGATGAAAAGGGAACGCTTAGAAACCGAACCACTTCATGAGAGCACGTTGTGTAATGATCCTACGAGCACAGGCTGAGAGACCCCAGAGGAAATTGCAATTACCACGGCTGGCACCTTCACGCACGTCGAGAGAATCGCATTGGACACGATTGCCTACAACAAATACTATTGCACTAAAGCTGGAACCGAGAAAATTACAAACCATGCCCATGGACTTGTTTCCCTAAATATTTAGACACATAGGAAATATGTGTCCCAAAAGTACCTTTTACATGGGGCGAGAACATGTTGAACTGACGCCCCTTGTAGAGCTCTGAACTGGGGGGCTCTGGGACCTTCCTGAAACGATTTTTCCTCTTATGCAGGAGGCAGCCATACAAATCCGAGAGGTCTAGAGTGTACGGTCCTCCTGCAGGACGTCGAGCAGGTCGAGCGCAGCCTCGGCAGCAGTGGCCGCCGCGACCCCCGGGGGGCGTGGCGGCAGTGCGGGGCGGGCGGGCTGGCTGGCCGCCTCGGACCCCTCGTGGAGGGCCGGCGGGAGGTCGGCCACCACGGACCTGCCGGGCAGTACGCACCCAAACCACAATCGCGTCGCGGACAAAGTCACGAACGGAATGTCTGTGGGTGAAGATTCGGTGGCAACTCGTGGGAGCCTCCCATACCATCTTGTCGGCTCTTGCGAATCGACGCTCATCGACGCTAGATCGACGCTAATCGACGCGACAATACACAACCATCGACGCTACATCAGCGTTAATCGGCGCTAGCCGCCGCTAGATCGGCGCTACATCATCGACGCAGAAAATTGATTTAAGAAGGTATACCAGGCTCCCATGATTTCCTAGCGAATAAAGAGCTGTTTTCTGGGGAGGTGGTCCAGCGAGGGGGAACGCTGGATCGGCTCGTGGGGGGAACCTGCAGCCGGCCACGGATCGACGACAGATCGACGGTAGACCCCCGATGACGAAACTGCACGTTCCTGGGCGGGGTGGATTATTAGGCCCCTGTCGGCGATGAGTGGGCGATTTGAGGTCGATGCGCTCCACTTGGCGGCGCGGGGAAGGGGGAAGGGCTTCTTAGGAAGGAGGCTGCTTCTTAGAAGGTGCCGGCCATATACATCTATAGACAAAGCCCGCCCCTTCTAAGAAGCACGGGTGTTTCTAATAAGCCTGCATCCCTTCCCCTACCCCCATGAGCGCGCGGCCGACCCTCCTCCTCCAGCACCTCCTCCCCCAGGCGCCCCATTCCACTGCGCGGCCCCGACGAGGTCCTGACCACCTCCCTGGGGGGAATGTGCCAAAGGCCCCGAGGCCCAGAATTGGGCCCCAGAGGCCGAAGTCGAAGAAGCAACAGAAATAAGATCGTCAGAGATATGGGCCTCCCCCTCTGCGGGTGGCTGACACCTCTGGTCTAGATCTCTGGGGTCGAAAACGAAAAAAACTGCATTAACATAAACTTGTGGCGCTTCGCGCGGACATCTTGGATCTGCGCCAGACCCCCATCCCTGGCGCGAGGAGCGCGCCAGGGGCGTCGCTGCAGGCGCCGCTAGGGGAGCTCAGCGCGGATCCAAGAAAACCGCGCGGAAAGCCAAAAATGCATGATGTTTTTACCTAACAGCGAAGACTGATAGGTTTCTAATGGTGTCAAAAGAGAGCATATGATGACTCAGAAGGGAGGTCTGGGCGGCATCCGGACAGCGAGGGCCGGGCTCAGGGCCGGGCTCGTTTTAAGCAAACAGTCGCACACTTCGTGCTCTTCGACCTCCCAGAACTGAATGCCCGAAACCAACTGTAAGCCACTTCGTGCTCTACGACTTCCCAGAACTCCATTCCCGGTCGACACTTTGGATGCTCGGAGCCAACTGTATGCCACTTCGTGCTCTTCGACTTCCCAGAATTCCATTCCCGGGCCACATTTTGGATGCCCGGAACCAACTGTAGGCCACTTCGTCCTTTTCGACTTCCCAGAACTCCATACCCGGGCCACATTTTCGATGCTGTAAGCCACTTCGTGCTCTTCGACTTCCCAGAACTCCATTCCAGGGCAACATTTTGGATGCCCGGAGCCAGCTGTAGGCCACTTCGTGTTTTCGACTTCCCAGAACTCAATTCCCGGGCCACATTTTGAATGCCCGGAGCCAACTGTAGGCCACTTCGTGCTCTTCCACTTCCCAGAACTCCACTCCCGGGCCACATTTTGGATGCCCGGAGCCAACTGTACGCCACTTCGTGCTCTTCCACTTCCCAGACTTCCAAGACTCATCATCTTCATCATCATCGTCCCCGTAGCCTTCTTGGCTACAGCCCTGCTTTCGAAGATTCCTTTCAAAGGAACTGCGCAGCGCCTACTGCGCACCTTAATGCCAGGACATGCTGATAGTTCTCGGTCTGGCGGCGGTGCTCCTGACCTTGCTGCATTGAACAGCGGTGCTCCTCAGCCTGCGGCAGGGAACAGCGCTGTTCCTCAGCGTGCTGCATTGAGAAGTCCTCTGCGAACGCTCGTCGAGCACGCGATTGAATGTTGAGGCAGGCTGAGGCTGAGGCTGAGGCAGGCTGAGGCTGAGGCAGGGTGAGGCCGAGGCTGAAGGCAGACTGAGGCTGAGGCTGAAGCAGGCTGAGGCTGAAGCAGGCTGAGGCTGAGGCTGAGGCTGAGGCTGAAGCAGGCTGATGCTGAGGCAGGCTGAGACTGAGGCTAAGGTTGATGCAGGCTGAGGCTGAGGCAGGCTGAGGCAGGCCGAGGCTGAAGGCAGACTGAGGCTGAGGCTGAAGCAGGCTGAGGCTGAGGCAGGCTGAGGCTGAGGCTGAGGCAGGCTGATGCTGAGGCAGGCTGAGGCTGAGGCCGAGGCTGATGCAGGCTGAGGCTGATGCAGGCTGAGGCTGAGGCCGAGGCTGAAGGCAGACTGAGGCTGAGGCTGAAGCAGGCTGAGGCTGATGATGGGGCAGGCTGAGGCTGAGGCTGAAGCAGGCTGAGGCTGAGGCAGGCTGAGACTGAGGCTGAGGCTGAAGCAGGGTGAGGCTGAGGCAGGCTGAGGCTGAGGCCGAGGCTGAAGGCAGACTGAGGCTGATGCTGAAGCAGGCTGAGGCTGAGGCTGAGGCAGGCTGAGGCTGAGGCTGAGGCAGGCTGAGGCTGAGGCAGGCTGAGGCCGAGGCTGTGACTGTGACTGCCGTTGCCGCTGCGACTGTCATCGCGCATGCGACTGCGACTGCGAGAACACCAGAATTCTACAACTGGATTCTCATATGAATCTTAAAGGGAATGCTTCCAGATATGCTCCCACACATCGTTGTTCGGTTGCTTTGCCGGGATATGTTTTCTTCTTCGATGGGGGCCCACGTTGTGAACAGCAGACCACGACGGCGGAGATCCGGGCAGGAACGGCCCTGGGCACGAGGTGACCCGCTCGGCGAGCGGCGCTCTGGGGTTTGCGGAGGGGCGCGACGGCGCGTGCTCGAGGGGGGCCTTTGGCAAGATCGGGGGGGGCGAAAGGGTAGGATAGCAAAGAGCAGGGCAGAGAAGGTAAGAATTTTCTTTTCGGCTTTTCGACTTTGGGCTTAAGGGGGGAGGAGGGGGTCTGAATCCAGACCTCTGCTTAGTGCGACTGTTTGCAACAGTGCGTCCTATGGGGGAGACCCCACCTGCTCGACACAGGCGCCAGAAACAGCTAGCGGGTGTAGGAGTGCCAGTGGAGCCGCGGCGTCGGCGGCCGGCGGCGCCCGCGGGGGGGGGGGGGGGGGGGGGGGCGCGCGCGGGGGCAATTGGGCAAGGGGCGGGCGGGCGTCGGGGGGGGGGCGCGTCGGTGCATTTGTAGTCTTTCATTGCAACGCGCAGGGCGCGGGGGGAGAAAGGGCCAGCCGTCCTTGAAGATTCCCTTCTGCAGCCTGTAGGGGGCACGACCTGGACGGAGAGGCCGTCGGCCATCTCTGGTCGCAGCGCCCGAACGAGGTCGACGGTCACGGCAGCCTCAGGGATGTTGGCGTCTCCTTCGGCGAAGCGGGATGTCAGCTCGTAGGGCCTGTTGTTCACCAGTAGGGCACGATGGGCGTCCTCCGAGCCGCTTTGGACGTGCGGGTGGAGCCCGTCGCAGTCCCTCGCCAGGTCGTCAACGCTGATCCCTACCGCCAGCGCGAAGGAGTCAGCCCGCCCGAGGTCGATGTCTGACGCCCGGGGCCAAGGAAGGCGCGGCGCCAAAGGGCGTTCGGCGAGGGGGTCAGTAAGGCCGCTGAGCAGCTCACCGTTACAGCGCGCCTTGGATGGGACTAGCGCGAGGAAAGGGCGCGCGCGGAAAATGCGCGCAAGGGTGATGCAAGCGCTGTCCTGGCGCCAGGTTGATAGCCAGGCTGCTGGCGGGGTTGCGCGAAACGTCTAGAATTTAGGAGGCAACTGCTGGGAGGTTTTCGCCGGAAGGGCTCGGGGGGATTCAGCCCCATTGGGGGGCTGTTAAGCCAGAGTGGGCCTCGGATCAAGCGGAATTGAACTGGGTTCAACGGGACCAAGCGGGATTAGGCTGGAATTAGAACGGCATGATCCCGCTTACTCCCGGATTAAATCGGATTTGATCCGGAATAATCCCGTTTAGTTCTACCGGAATGAAGCGGGGGCAAACGGGATTTCGGACCAGGGCCAAATCATAATTTGACCTCCCAGGAGTTGCATCCGAGCGCGGCGAAGCATGCGGTCGGGCCGTGGAGAGCAGGGGCGCGAAGTGTGGAACGGGCCCCGCCCATCTTCCGGCGCAAAAGGCGCCTGGGTGCACGATGGGGGGCCGGGGGAACAAACTCGGAGCGACCTCGGGGGGCGGCGAGCCCCTTCCGAACCCATGTCGGCGTTTGGGCCGCAGAAGGCACTTGTCCAAATGCAAGCCCAAGTTCGGTTCGAAAACTGATGGCCACTGTCGTGTCTCGGGGGGCCAAGGTTCATGAAGGCGGGCAAGATCGAGGGCAGGGGGGAACGGGCCTGGCTCCGCGGCCGGAGATTGGCACCGCGCCGCCTAGAAAAAATCCGGCGGCCGGGGCATGGGCGGCCGAGCGCGCGCCCCAGGGCGGGCTGGAGCGCCCAGGCCCCCATCGGCGAGAAAGTGGGGATCGGGGGCTCGATGCCCCCCCCCCCCCCCCCTTCCCCCCCCCATCCCCCCCCCTCCACCGCCCCCCCAGGGCGCGCGCCCGGTCATAATAAACCAGAGGGGGAGCGACGCGCCAAAAGCGCGCCGCTGCCCGAAACTGCCCGGCGGGCGGGTCGTCGCGCCTGCCTTCGGCGGCCGGCCCCGCTCGAGTCGTCGAGGCCCTTGCGGGGAAAAGAACGCGTTTCGCAACGACTGCACTGGGCAGGCTGCGCTGCCTGGAGGAGGGAGAGGGGGGGGGGGGGAGGGGGGGAGGGGGGGGAAGACGAGGGGCAAAAGGAAAAACACACACTGAACAGACGCCGACCAGAAGGAGGGAGGGGGGCAGCAGAGGCAGAGCAGAGCAAGCAGGGGGCGGACGGAGGTCGTCGTGGCCAAGGCCAGGGGGGGTCGTTGGGGCAGGGCGTCGGGGGCGGCGGTCGTGGCCAGGGGAAGGGGTGC